TAGGTCCATATAAATATTATTTATCAGAGTACGGTTCTTGGTTTCATTGATCTTTTCTGTTGTTTCTTTTTCAGTCTCTATTTTATTTAGTTCCTCTCTGACCTTTATTATTTACTTCCTTCTGCTCACTTTGGGCCTTCTTTTTCTTTTTTTAGTTCCTTTATGTGTAAGGTTAGATTGTTTATTGGAGATTTTTCTTGTTTCTTAGAGTAGGCCAGTATCACTTTAAACTTCTCTCTTAGAACTGTTTTTGCTGTGTACCACGGATTTTGGAGGTTGTGTTTCCATTTTCATTTGTCTCAAGATATTTTTTAATTCCTTCTTTGATTTCTTTGACCCATTGGTTGCTTATTTGTATGTTGTTTGGCCTCCTCATGTTTGTGTTTTTTCCAGTTTTTTTTCCCCCTTGTAATTGATTTCTGGTTTCATCCCATTGTAGTTGAAAAGATGCTTGATATGATTTCGGTCTTCTTAAATGTATTGAGACTTGTTTGGTGGCCTAACATGTGATCCACCCTGGAGAAGGTTCCATGTGCACTTGAAAGGAGTGTGTTTTCTGCTGTTTTGGATGGAGTGTTCTTTTTATTTGTATTATGTCTGTCTGGTCTAGTCTGTTGTTTAAGGCCACTGTTTCCTTACTGATTTTCTCTTTGGATGATCTCTCTATTGATGTAGGTGGGGTGTTATTATGTTACTATCAGTTTCTACCTTTGTGTCTATAAATATTCCTTTGTATATTTAGGTGCTCCTATGTTGGGTATATAGATATTTATAATTGTTATATCCTCTTGTTAGATTGATCCCTTTATCATTATTTAATGTCCTTCTTTGTCTCTTGTACAGTCTTTGTTTTAAAGTCCATTTTGTCTGATGTAACTATTCCTACCCCAGCTTTCTTTTCGTTTCTGTGTGCATGGAATCTTCTTCCAGTCTGTATGTGTCTTAGGTGTGAATTTAGTTTAGTTTTGTTTTTTTTCTTAGAGAGCATAAGCAGTGGGTGTGTGTTTGGGGGTATGGGGGGAAGCAGAGGGAGAGAGAGACGCAGAGATCATGACCTCAGCTGAATCAAGAGTTGGATGCCTAACTGACTGAGCCACCTAGGCACCCCTGGATTGAGTCTCTGATAAGCAGCGTTTTGATAGGTCTTGCTTTTTTATCCATTCAACCACCCTGAGTCTTTGATTATAATATTTCTTCCATTTACACTTAAAGTAATTATTGGTAGGTAGTACTTACTGCCATTTTTTTGTTTTCTATTTTTGTAGTTCTCTGTTTTTTTGGTGTTTTTTTCCTTGATCTCTTCCCTTGGGATTTGATGACTTTCTTTAGTGTTATGTTTGGATTCCTTTCTCTTTATTTCCTTTGTATCTATTTAGGTTTTTGGTTTCCTTATCACAAAGTTCATGTATAATATCCTATGTATGTAAGTTTATTTAAGTTGATGATTTCTTAAGTTCACATTCTAAAAGCACTACATTTTTCCCTGCCCTGCAGTGTTTTATGTTTTGACATCCTGCTTTATATCTTTATTTTGTATCCCTTAACAAAATATTGTAGACATGATTGATTTTACTGTTTTTGTTTTTAACCTTCATACTAACTTTATAAGTGGTTGATCTACACTACCTTTGCAGTATGTTTGCTTTTACCAGTGAGATTTTTTTCCTTTATAACTTTCGTCTAGTTGTGGCTTTTTCTCTTCCACTTAAAGAAGTCCCTTTAACATTTCTTATAAGGCCAGTTGAGTGTTGATGAGCTCCTTTAACTTTTGTCTTTAAACTCTTCATCTCTTCTTCAATTCTGAATGATGATCTTGCCAGGTAAATTTCTTGGTTGTCGGTTTTTTCCTTTCAGTACTTATATGGTGACATTCTCTTCTGCCTGCAAAGTTTCTGTTGAAAGATCAGCTGATAATTTTATGTATGTTCTCTTGTATGTAACTAGTTGCTTTTCTCTTGCTGCTTCTAAGATTATCTCCTTATCTTTAATTTTTGACATCTTAGTTATTATATGTCTTAGTGTAAATCTCTTTGCATTAATCTTGTTTTTGGCTCCCTGTGCTTCCTGGAACTGGATGTCTGTTTTCTTCCCCAGCTTAGGGAAGTTTTCTGCCATTATTTCCTCAAATAAGCTTTCTACTTCTCTCTTTTTTTCCCCTTATGGGACTCCTATAATGTAAATGTTAGTCTGCTTGATGTTGTCTCAGAGGTCTCTTAAACTATCCTCATTTTTTAAAGTTTGTCTCCTTGCTGTTCAACTTGGGTGACACTCACTACCCTGGCTTCCAGATCACTGATCATTCTTCTGCATCATCTAATGTGCTTTTGATTCCCTCTAGTGTATTATTTTATCTTTCTTTTTGATAGTTTGTATCTGTTTGTTGAAGTTCTCACTGTGTTCATCCATTCTGCTTGAGTTTGGTCAACATCTTTATGACCATTACTTTGAACTCTTTATTAGGTAGTTTACTTATCTCCATTTCATTTCATTCTTTTCTCAGGTTTGTCTTGTTCTTTCCTCCAAAACCTATTTCTCTGTCTTCTCATTTTCCCCGACTCTCTTTGTTCTTATGTGTTAGATAGATTAGCTATGTCTCAGAGCCTTGATGGAGTGACCTAATGTAGAAGGCATCCTGTGGGGCCTTGAAGCACAGTCTCCCCTGGTGCCCAGACCCAGGCACTTCGGGGTGTCCCGCATGTGGACGACATGTGTCCTCCTGTTATGGCTGGGCTGTGACTGCTGGGTTTGCACTGGTGGGTGGGCTTGGCCTCACATGCAGCTGGCTGAAAGACCCTGCTGTAGTGGTTGGGGGCATTTTGGTGGTCGGGGCTGTAGCTGCTTTGGGAGGTATCAGTCTGAGGCTCCCTGCTGCATGGCAGGGCAGGAGCTGCTTTGCAGGGATGCCGATCCCACTCAGGGCCACTTGCTGAGTGTGGTGGGATGGGACTTGTTTTAGAGGGGGCCCTTAAACCTGGCCTGGGCTGCCCACCAAGTCTGGTGGACTGGGAGCTGCTTTGGGGGACCATGGGATCTGGCTGAGACTACCTGCCAGGTGCAGTGGGGTGGGAGCCACTTTGAGGGGGATGCGTACGGGGGCCAGCATTGTTAAGTAGAGTGGGTCTGCGGGGGCATGCTGAGGCAGGGCAAGTGGTATTAGCAAGGTAGAAGAAGAGTGTCAGAAATGGCTCCCACCAGTGCTTCTGTTCCAGGAAAATGTTCCCATAGATCCCTGCCCCTTCTGCACATGCCCTAAAGTTAGCAAATCTTCATGTGTGGCCCAGGCGCTTTTCAAAATGCTGCCTCTATGCTGGGTCTCAGAGCCAATGAGTTTGTGCCTGTGCCCTTTAAGAGTAGAGTCTCAGTTTCTTTTAACCCCCTAGCTCTCCTGGAGTTAAGCGCCATAGATTTTCAAAGCCAGCGTTTATGGGACCTCTTCTTCCTGATGCATGTCCCCAGGATGGGCATGCTTGATACAGGGTTTAAACCCTTTGCTCCTTAGGAAGGATGGCCTCTGCGTTTGTAATATCCCTCCTGTTTGGGAGTCACTGAGCAGGGGATGTGGGTCCTGACTAGAGCCCTTTTCTGCGTTTCCTACTTGTCTGGTATGGCTTTTTCTATCTTGAGTTGTGGAAGAGCAATTTTTGCTATTTGTCACATCGTTCTCAGAGAGTTGTTCTGTATGATGTTGTAATTTTGGTGTGTCTCTGGGAGATGAGCTTGGGATCTTCCTGTTCTGCCATCTTGATCCTTCCGTCCTGTTCCTTTTCTTTAATACTATTGTTTTTGAACTAATTCTTTTTGTCTGGATTTGGGAAGTTAATTAAATGTCAGATAATAGATGTGGAGCAAAGGAAACACTTGGGGAGTAAAATGTTACATATGTATGAAATAAACAGCTTGAAAGAAAAACAGAATGAAGAAAACGGCATTTTTTATTTTCTATTTTCTAAGTGCAGTCTTTAATTTTGCATACTTTGATAATTTTTCCTCAGTCTTTATCTTCTCTTCTGAAGTAGTGTCACACTTATTTACTTATTTAAACACTACTTATTTAAATATTTTTCACATAAAGAAAAAAATTTTCCAAAAACAGTTTTTTTCCACTAAAGAAGGCAGGCCTAGTATTTTTCTACTATATAATATAATTCAGAAGTGGAAATTTACTTGCCTGGTTAGTCTTAGGTTAGAAATTATACCAATTCTCCCTGTTAAGTACCTGTTTATAGTAGAGGTTAAGGATGAGAACTTGAAAAAGAGTATATAGGGAGAAAGTAAACTTGGATGACTTCCTTATCCCTGCAATTAAGTACTTCAGTGGCCTCACTCACTGCCTGTCTGTTGCTCGCATTATAGCCATACAGGATCTTACAAAGAGCCTCATTCATTTGCTTTGCTTGCTATAAGGGCATGTGACTTTTACCTCAAGGCTTCTTTGACTTTGGCTTTAATTTGATTACTGAGTTCATCCTTCACAGCCATAGATTTTCATTGTTAGAGGAGCCGTTGAGGCCATCTTACCTAACTCCGTATTTTTGTGGTCGAGGAAGCCAATTTCCCAGAGATTGTGACTTATCAGAGTGTGGAGGATGACTTGGTTGGTATGAGGGCATTCAGTTAGCTTCTGGGAAATTATATTTCTTTCCTACGAGAAGGATCATTGGTATTTACTGGAATGAAATAACTTTATATCTTTTTACCAGAAACATTATATCTCTTTTTATCAAATAACAGGCTCACATTTGATTTATATCCTTAATAATTTAATAATTGGGAGTTTGGGTAGTACTTATCTGAGGATAATCTAACCTTTCCATAAAAGCCAATCTGTTGTAATTCAGCAAAACTTCTCTTTTTCTAATTCTCAGTAGGATTTAAGAGATTTTAAAGAGTTGATTTTTCAATGAAAACCTCTTATTGGATATTTTTTTTCCCTAACATAATCTTATAATTACAGGAAAGTAAATTAGGTTGGACTTACCTATTTTGGGTTTCCTTTACAGGTATTGTAATCAGGTTCTTTGTAAAGAGATTGATGAATGTGTGACTCTTCTTCTTCAAGAGCTTGTCAGTTTTCAGGAACGCATCTACCAAAAAGATCCTGTGAGAGCAAAAGCAAGGAGACGGCTGGTTATGGGCCTAAGGGAGGTTACTAAACATATGAAGTTAAATAAGATCAAGTGTGTTATAATTTCTCCAAACTGTGAAAAAATCCAGTCAAAAGGTATGAACATTTTACTTTTGAAGTGTTTTGATATTTATTTAGTATAGTTGTAAGATATACAATGAATTTTAAAGTGAAAGCCATATGTCTTTCTTTGCAGAGTTTAGGTATAAAACATAATACTGAACATGAGGAAAGAAAGTGAAATCTTTCATTACCTCAAATTAAGTAATAAAATTGAGATTGGACTGTAAAGAAGTCCTAATCTATGAACACTAGTGAAGGATTTAAGTTGGGCCAACCAAGTGAGCCACTTTGGGTAATTGGAGTAGGCAGATGCAGAGGTATTAGTAGTAGGCATATTATCCACAGGGGAGAAATACCAATAAAAATAGTAGTATATATCTGTGTTATTGCCACTTGGGCTGAGAGAATAAATATATCAGCCACTATTAACAATTTTAATTTCTTTTTTAGTGAATGTATTGAAATTTGACCCCCACTATACCAATCCCTATGGAGAGACAAAAACTGGTGTTGAAGAATTTTAAAATTTATTGGGAAGAAAGAAAATACATACATATGTGTGTGTATATATATATATATATATATCCATACATCATATAAATTCCAATAGGAAAATAAGTAGAATAGCAAAAGTGCCACAAGCATTCATAGAATCCTTTGCTGCTGTGTTTTACGCTTTAGCTGTTGGATGCTAAAATACCTCCATTTATATAAATAAATTAAGACCTCAGCATGTGTTGACTTTCTCAGGTGGCCTGGATGAGGCTCTCTATAATGTTATAGCCATGGCACGGGAACAAGAAATTCCTTTTGTGTTTGCCCTTGGAAGAAAAGCTCTAGGACGCTGTGTGAACAAGCTGGTTCCTGTTAGCGTAGTGGGAATCTTCAACTACTTTGGTGCTGAGGTAAGACCTAAGAGGATACACTCCCTCACTCCCTCTTGTCCTCACCCCCCCCAATACGTTTTCTGTTAACATGTGCCAGTGTTCTTTTAAAGCATTTGAAGAAATGAGGTGACTCTCTCAAGAATGAGTGGAAAATTTTTGAATATTACATTTCCTTTTTTTAGTGCTAAAAACATTTACACAAGTTAATCCTACAGTATTTTGGCTGTAAAGATTTCAGCTCCTGTTTTTCCCACAGTGCTTTTTTCTTCTGGGTTCAATTTTGTAATATATGATAATTATTTAACTGCTAGGTAAAGATACTCGATATTATATGATATAAAATAATTTTCTTCAGTGTATATATTGGCTATATTTTATGCTATTTGGAGTCAAGAGAGAAAAAGATCCTTTAATTAGAGAGGATTTTCTTTTTGAAAATGGAATTCCTAACCAATTGTCAAAATAATTCTGCACTCATGATACCTTTATCTTCCTCTCCTGGTCTGCTAATACAAAGCTTTGCCCATAGGAGCTGATGATAATAAGTAATAATAATAACAATAGGCTGGTAATTAATAATTAGAATAAAAGTTATTTATCTCCAGTAATGCTTAGTAACTGATAACATTTTAAGACTCTTTTATGAAGTTGACTCTGAAGTATTTTGTGACACCATTCATGGACCATTTTCCCTCTTCCTAGCCATACTATTTTTATTTATTTAAGCGTGTGTCCTTTCTTATCCAGTTACCATGTTTGCATACCCCCATTTCCATTCAGGTTCTCTCCCACTACCCATGAAGTTATCTACCCACCTACTTTATGAGTATATACTCAATATTTCTGCTCCCACAGTAGCCTGTGCTTTTCTTGGTTATAGGTATCATACTGCCTTGCTGTAGATTATGTGTTTCTTTCCCTTTAACTATGAATTCCTTGAGGGCAGACCTCTTGTCTTTGTGTCCCTGACACCTTTCACATTACTTGAGCATGAGCAGGTGATAAATGTTTGTTCAGTAAACTGTGTGGTATATGTATACCTGCTTGCTATGTTAAACTATATGTGCGAATTTGGGTGATAAGTACCTCTGTGGGAAAAAAGGGTCATATATAAAGACACCTAATTAAAATTACTCCTTTTTTGTTCACTATTAGTTTATGGAATAGGAGTGAGATTGAGGTCAGGAAAAGTGGACATGTTTGTTTTTCATTGTATTGACTTCTTACTGAATTATATATACTGGATTATGTGTATGGCTTTATAAAATGCTTGCCAGTTTTGTTTGTACATTGTTTCACTTGTCCTCTACTACTTTGAGATAGGTAAGTTATTGTTTAAACCAAAATATACTCTTAAAATAGGGGTAAAGGAAATAGTGGTATATTATCAAGTGTACCCATTGCAATAATGTGGTAGTACACCTAAGTTATTTTTACCGTCTGCTAAAAGTAACCTTTGAATTAAACTTTCTCTCCTTACCCTGACATTCAAGGTTTCTATTCCCTGATAGCTTTTCTCTTAAATTTTCTTTTTTTCTCTTCTTACTTATTTTTTTATTCCCAACTATTTCTGTGTTTTATTTATATTGTAAAATGATTGTTAATCTCAATATCACACATCCGTATGCCTATTTTCTTTTTGTTGGCTTCACTTAAATGCATAGTTTGTTAAACGTTGCAAACAAATATTTAGGAAGTCTGTTACATGTAACACATAGGAGCTGTTTTTACCAGAATCCATTATTCCTTCTTTTTAAAAATAAGTAAATGCTGAGTATATTTTGATACTACTAGTAGTATTAGCATGCTTAAAATCATTGCAGTTGGCAACAGATTTATTATACCTACTACCTTAATCAGTTTAAACTGAAGCTGGCTAAAGCACGCTACTTATGTTTTTCCTTCTTAAGGACGTATTTTCAGGGACATATTCCATAGCAATATGACATTTTTTGCCATGCTTTCATCCAGTTACGGTTTTAAAGTTAAATGAAAGTGCCTTGGTAGGAGGAAAAAAGTTGTACTGTACTTTTCTTCCCATTGTCTGAAAGCATAATTTAATATATAATATTAAACATATTCTTAGGAATGTTCAGGTCTGACATCTGACATTTTTTATTTAATGTGTGGGTGTGTTGCATTGTGATACTAAATTAAGACATTAAACGGAAGTAGAAGGTTGTTCAATTATGATGTAAGAATCACAACAAGTTATTATTTGATTGTCTTTTCTAGTGGCTATGGAAACTTCAGTTTTCTTTGGAGTTTTTTAGAGGTCATAATTGTTGAAGTTCAACTTCAATGCTATATGAATTTTGCCATTTTATTAACATGTGTATAGTCCACCCACCATTTTGCTGGAATTATTAATTGCCATTCGTGTTCATTTTGTTTCACTGATGGAGGAACTTCTGATTATTTAGCTCTACATTCTTCTTCAGGCTCTTTATTCTGTTTTTGTAATTTGCATTTGTCCCAGTATCTTTAGTTTGTCCTTCTTATAAGTGTCATATTTTCAGCTAGCCATCCCATCACTGACTTCTTTTGATCTTCTTCAAGCTCTTCCAATAAGCACACATCCAGGGAACTTTTAATTCTTGTGGAGGCTGCCATCTTCTTCTATAAACTTCGATACCACACTGCATACGCTCATTCCCTTATATTCTAATCCATATAAGGATTCTTCACTGCTCCCCAGACAAGCCTTGTACTTTCTGAAGTCTATACCTGTATTTATTGTTTTGCATGTTTGGCTAAGAATGCAGGATCTCCACCCTTCAAAATTGTATCTATTTTTCAAGGCCTATGTCAGAGGTAATAGTACTTGGGAAATTCTTCAGCGATGCTCAGCAGTTAGATTTGATGTTTCTTCCAAAAGCCAGAACATTTTGTACATCTCAAGGCATTTAAAATAAGGTACCTTGAATCATTGGTGTCTCCTATCTTTCAGCCACATGGAAGTTTCCTTAAGAGCAGAGTGGTGTTCCAGTGGTCTCTGTACTCACTGTAGTGCCAGAGACTGAAGGGGGCAGTTGTTGAATTGATAAACTTGGCAAGAACTTTCAGTATATCACAGTTAATGACTAGTATTGAATCAGGAAATTTCCTCAGACTTGTGAGAATTACATAAACAATATCTGTAAGTTACAGAGTATTTTATAATGTTCTGCAGTGTGCGTACCATTTGGATTTTGTGCTGATTGAAAGTGTGTCTGATCCTGAAACAGTAGAGAGACTTATTGTCAGTTATAGGAATAAAAAGTACAGCCCCAAAATGCACTAATCAAAATCTCTTTTTAGAGCCTGTTTAATCAGTTGGTAGAGCTCACTGAGGAAGCCAGGAAAGCATATAAAGAGATGGTTGCAGCAATGGAACAAGAGCAGGCGGAGGAAGCCTTGAAGAACGTGAAAAAGGCACCACACCACATGGGGCACTCTCGGAACCCCTCTGCGGCAAGCGCCATTTCTTTCTGCAGTGTCATTTCTGAACCCATTTCTGAAGTAAATGAAAAGGAATATGGTAAGTTGGTGTATATGGTATATGGTATATATCAGATGTTTTAAACGTTGAAACCATTTAAGTGATTAAAATCATTTTGAAAATGATTTTTCACATTACCTTTTTATCTCATTGATTATTCACATTTTGGTCTGAATTTTGGTTTGAAAAATTGCATTAAGCATGTCCATTAAAAATTAGGAGACTATTTGGAGCTGAGACTTGCTATGGGCCCCTGTAATTTAGTCACATTTCCAGAATCCGCAAAGGGGTTTAAAAAGCAAAAGGTACAATACTTGTGGCCTATAACTAAGTAAATTCTAGGAAGTTTCATTCTAATACTTTATACTGAATTGTTGAAGTTTTGATTTACTAAGTAAACAAAAGACCTGAATATTATGGAATATAAGCTTATAAAATCTAGACATATGACATTTAAGTTAAATTTGATAGTAGTCAAAAAGAAACAGACTAAAACCCAGCATTTGTGTGTGTTAAAGAACAAAAATTCACCTGAGTAAATGTAAAGATCTAATTGGCTTTCTTAGTTATTTATGCACCGGGGCAACATCCCTTCTAGCAAGTAGTGGGGAGCTCTGAGGAATTGCACAAAATGGAAGGCTTATATATAGGAAAGAGGGTGGGGCAAGGAAATTATTAGCAAAAGAAAAGAAAGAATGGTTCCTGGCCAGGTCACCTTCCTTTAGGGAGACAGGCAAGGGGTCTTATTAATGGATTGTCTCATCTTCCTTTTGGGGGTGGAAAGGGCCCTTGTGACAGATTACCTCATTAGCGCTGACCAGAAAACTCTTCAAACAGATTTCTGAGGGAGGTTGAAACTGTCATTAGGTTAGATCTTAAGCTCTGGTTTGGTGATTTGGCCTCAGTGATGCCGTTTTGGGCCTGTGGTTTTCTTTTTAACATGTGTAATGTTTAAAATAATATTATTTACTGCACTCTATATGTCTTAGGAGTGTCCTTGCCTTTTTTCTACAATACTTTGAACTCTTAAGTTCTCCAGTTTTCATGATGTTTCTGGTTCGCTTCCCCTATTTTTTCTTTTTAAAAATAGGATAGCCACCTCCTTCAACTTAGCTCCAGTTTCTTCCTTCTTCTTCTTTTTTTTTTAAATCTATCTGGGAGTTTATTGAATAGCTTGTTGCCAACTAAAATTTAACATGTAGAAAAATGAGTCCTCATGTTTTCCCTTTTTTTCCTCACACTCCCTTTCCTAGTCTCCCTATCTGTGATTGTAGTTAAATGTTTGGAATGCTTTGACAAAGCTCTAGGCCAGAGACAATGAACAAGTTACTCTGGGACTTTAGGAAACTGCAGATCAAGGATAAGTGTTTTTTTTTATTACGATTTTATTTATTTATTTGACAGAGACATAGCGAGAGAGGGAACACAAGCAAGAGGAGTGGGAGAGGGAGAAACAGGCTTCCCGCTGAGCAGGGAGCCTCATGTGGGGCTCGATCCCAGGACCCTGGGGCCATGACCTGAGCTGAAGGCTGACGCTTAAGGACTGAGCCACCCAGGCGCCCCAGGAATAAGTGTTACTGGCTTAGAGGCAGACGTTTTTTTGGCTGAAGTGCCACTAGTTGAAAATAAGATAAAGTGCCAACTTTGTAAATGAGATCAGTTCTCTCTATATAATGATAATGCAGATCTCAAAAGCAAATTTCAAGGTAAATTCATAAAGCTGTGGGTTTGAGCACATGGAAAGAAAAGTTATGAAAAGAACCTCTCAAAGACTTAGGAGATGTTTTCAAAAGGCACCAAATATAGTGTTCAAAGATTGAAGCTTTAGCTTTCTCACACACTCTGCGTGGGGGACTGAGAAATAATTGATTAATTTCTGGGCCTCAGATTTCTCTTTAGTGAAATGAGGAGGGTTCATCTAGGTCATCTATAAGGTTCCACTCAAAGCTAAAATTCTATGAGCTGTTAAATAACAAAATTCAACCAAGTGTATTTGATGATCTAGGTAGCTTTATTGAATGATTCATGAATTGGGCAGCCACCATCTAGCAAGTAGAGAGGCAGTCTGAAGACTTTTACAAAGTGGAAAGTTTTTATGGGTGGGTGGCAAGGCAGGGAAGAAAGTTACTAGGAAAAGAAAAAGATTGTTCCAGAGGACGCTGTTGCTAAGGGAAAAAGCAAGGGGTCTTATGCAGATTACCTCACCTATCTTTGGAGGATGGAGAGGACCCAGGTGACAGACTCATTGGTGCTGATGGAAAGAAAAATTTCCTGACTGACCAATTAAGGCCGCATTTCTAGGGGAGTTTGAAACTGCAATTGGATTGGGAATTAAGCTCTAGTTTGGGAACTCAGTCTAAGTGACACCATTTTGGACCTGTGGTTGTCTTTTTTTTTTTTTTTTTTTTAAATCTGGTAGAGCTAATGGTTGAATCCTAAGGAAGGATTTAGATGGAATCTTTAAGATTCTGACATGATGAGCTGATTTATGAGGACACCAACAAAATGAGTGGAAGGAATCACAAATAACACTGAGAAGAAAGCATGAAGTCATTCTTTGTGTATCGGATGCATTCAGCAACAAACATAAAACCACTAATGTGGCCTAAGAAATCAGGATATTTAATTATTTCACAATACCCTCAAAGTCCCTAGCTCTTTCCTTCTTTCTGTTCTTCCATTTGCAGTCTGTGGCTTTCTATTCTTGTGCCATCGTCTCATGTTCATAAGTAGCTGCTGTGGCTCTGGCATTAGTAGTCAAAAGCAGGAGGTTCAGGCAGTGTGAGTTCCTTTTATCAGTGAAAGAAACAATTTTCAGAAGACTTCTCCTTTTGTTTCATTTAGCCAGAACTGATCTTGTGACTCCTTTTAGCTGCAAGGGAGACGAGCAAGGGACTATTTGGCAAAGGAGGAATGGGATAACCATTATAGTCTAAGAACTATTTTAATTCATCCTCCAGGACTGGACTCAAGTTCATTCCAAGTTTGGGGGTTCTGTTATCCAGGAAGAAAATGGGGAATGACTGTTGGATAGACAACAAACAGCATCTTCCATGTTATCCTGATGCAGGATTCCTAAAATGTTTTTCTCCCCATAGTTTAAAGGAAAAACAAAGCTGGGAAAAGAATGCTAATCATTGGCAGAATAGAAAACCTCCTATGATAGTCCAGTCTTACTGTCTTTTATATACCCCTTGTTTTCTTTGCTTATGTTTTCCTTCCACCTGTGCTGAGTCTCAGTTCTGTCATACTTATTACATGAAACAAATAGTTTTGAACATAAATTCCAACTAAGTTGTAAGTTCTTTGAGGTAGGAACTTGACACATAATGGGCACTTGATACATAATAATAATATCTCACTGAATTCATACTATGTGCTAAGCACTTCTGTAAGCATTTCACATTTATTAATATATTCGATTGTGTGAGCAACCCTATGAGATAAGAAATATTGTACTGCAGGGGCATCTGGGTGGCTCAGTTGGTTAAGCATCCTACTCGATTTCAGCTCAGGTCATGATCTCCGGGTCCTGAGATCGAGCCACAGGGCAGGCTCCGTGCTGAATGGGGAGTCTGCTTGAGATTCTCTGTCTCCCTCTCCCCCTCCCACGCCCACTCTCTCTTTCTCGCTCTCTCTCTCAAATAAATAAATCTTTTTTAAAAATTAAAAAAAATACTGTACTGCATTTCATAGATGAGGAGCCTAAGATAAAGAGAGGTAATTAACTTGTCAGTGCATACACCTGGTAAATCTGACTCTAGAATCTGCATTCTTAGCCAGGGTGATTGTGTTCCCTGTCTGTTGATTGAGTTCTTAATAGGACAGTATAGTAGCTTTTCAGTAATCACTTACGAGGGGAGGACAACCTCATTATGTAGTCCATCCATCCTGAATTTCCTGCTCATTTTCTGCCACTAGTTTGTTCTGTAGTTTCTTGAACTCATTTGCTTGTTCTAAGTATAACTAAAGATGGACAGCTTCTCTGTACTGACTGAAAGGAGAAATACACATACCTCATCCTCTAAGAAATCCTCTAGTGATTTGAAAGTTTAAAAGACAATTTCACAAAGACCCAATAAACAAAAGAGGAAAGCATAGAAGGGATTAACAAGCAAAGAAGAGCTCTATTGAATAAATAACGCTACAATAAAAATTCAGAAGCAGGGTGGGTTTGAATCAGTACCATTTCTAGGTTTGTTGAGATCTTTGGTTCTTCCTTTAACTTGCTTCCTGGTTCCTTCATCAGAAGTGGACTTCTAGAGGTCCTGTTCAGGATTTAGACTGTCCTCCTCCCCATCCCAATCAGATTTCTCCTGTCCCCTAGAGAAAGATGGCACTTTCGTACTCTTCTCTTTCTCCATGTTGTATGCATGTGTTTGTGTGCTCATCAGCTGTTGATCAAGCTTTATCTGTTACTTTAAAGTGGGAGCCTAGACCCTCCCTCCCCAGTAGATACGTGACCTTGGTGGCTTTTTGATTATTGTGGCAAGTCTCTTGATGGCTAATAGCAGAGTCCTTTGCTTCTGCTTTTGAAGTCTTATCTCCCTTTACTATCCCAAGGACCCATGTGGGCTTTCAGCTCACCTACCCAAGTAGATGAAGGCCTAAGGTTGATTCTGGAGAGAGATCAGCCTGACCTAGTATCCTGACCTCCTTCCTCTTTCCTGTTCGTTGACTCACTGACAAGGGGGAGGTGGAACTCCAAGTGAACTCTTACACTTTTAGGGGAGGATAAAAACTGTTGGAAGGAGGGGGCGGAGCAAGATGGCGGAGGAGTAGGAGACCTGGATTTCGTCTCCTCTCAGGAATTCAGCTGGATAGGGATCAAACCATTCTGAACACCTACAAACTCAACAGGAGATCGAAGAAAAGAAGAGCAACAACTGTCTCAGCAGAAAAGCGACCACTTTCTGGAAGGTAGGACGTGCGGAGAAGTGAATCCGAGGCGATATTCGGGAGGATAGACGGCGGGGGAGGGGCCTCCGTCGGCCGCTTCTGGCAAGTGATAGAGCCGCGGAGCACAAAATCGGAACTTT